CCCCCCCCCTCCTTCCGTCCTCAAACAGATTCGACGAATAGTCGCCGAGACAGGCCTGGACCTGGTCCAGCTACACGGAGACGAGGGTATGGAGGCCTGCGCCGAGTGCGGCGTGCCGGCTCTCCGCGTCGTGCACGTGCCGGCGGCGGCACCGGGAGAGGAGCGCGTCGAGAGCGTCTTGGTCGGTGGTGAGAGGGCCTCGCCGTCGGCAAAGTCGCGGGCCGAGGAGGTGCTGGCGCAGGCTCCCCCGAACTTTGCGGCCGGGGTCCTGCTGGACACCTCGGTGAAGGGCGTCAAGGGTGAGAGAGTTTCTGATTTGACGTAAGATAGCACACACTCCTGGAGAGATTTTTTCCCAAGTTACTCCACGACGACGAGGAATGTAGTACGAATCAAACGGTGCGTTAACTGAAAAGCGTCTCGATGAGACGGTTCTGACGCCACCGTCTTCGGCATCACATCGCTACTCTCTGTGCTGCTGAGCTTTCGAAAATCTCCCCGGGGGATGTGATATCGCGTGTCACCTACGATACACACGTTGTTGTAAAACGGGAGCTACATAGAGAAAAGGTTGTTTGTACGAGCGCCCTTTGGATCCTAGTATCGCTCGTTGAGGGTTCACCAATAGATGCCTGACAGCGAATTACCTGCAGGTCGCCCCCACTGAGGTGTTTGTACCTGGAATAATGTGCGCCCAAAGGGAGTTAAACTAGCCGTCGACAACCAGTCGGTTGCTCATGGTGGCGGGAAAAGGAACGCAAAAAAATCGAGCACTGCTGCTCTTGATGTTTATCTTGTGAGCTTGACGTGCCCTAGTCAATCCGCGTCAAGACTGATGCGCGGCCCAGGAAGTAATGTGCAACGCAGACGACTTTGACAACAATTAGCAACAATCCACGGGTTCGGTTTGACCCCCCCCTTGTACTTGGTGTTGTGTTTCCTCCCCCGCTTTTTTTTTTCGTTTTTTTTTCAGGGGGGACCGGCCTCCCGTTCGACCACGAGGTGGCCAAGCTTGTCGGCGAAGCGGGGGTGCCGGTTATCGTCGCGGGGGGGCTCGACCCGGACAACGTGGAGATGTGCGTGATCTTCACGGAGAGCTTCGGCGTGGACGTGTCGAGCGGGGTGGAGGAGGCGAAGGGGGTCAAGAACCCCGGGGAGGTAAAGAGGTTCATGGAGCAGGCGCGCCTTGCGCACAAGGACTTGACTGCCAAGCTGAAGCAAGAGAAGGAGGAGGAGGAGGAGGAGCAGGGGGAGAGAATATGAGAGGGGGGGTCGTTTTGCTGGAAGGCGATAGTTTGGGGGGAGGAGGAGAAGGAGGGGTGTGGTGGTGCTAGAAGACGTTGTTTTAACTTCGAAGTATACGGTATGGGGAGGAGGAGGAGGAGGAGGTAGCAGAGAATATGAGACGAGTGTTGTTGTTGTAGGAGCGTTAGAGATATACCATACGCTATGGTATCCGCACCGTGAAGGCTTGTTTTGCGCACGATGTACCTTGTGGTAGGCAATAGACAGGCGCGTCTTCTTGTACAGGTCATAGATTTTAGTCGGGCCCGGATGGGTGGGTTGGTGCTCTGGCAGATTGTTGTGTACGCGGAAGGGAAGGCAATGACTAGATACATGAGTCTTGGAAGCTGTTGGTTGGTGTAAGGAGGATTGGGATTATCGACATACATGCGTAGAAGGAATGCCTGTTTTTCTGTGGAAGGGAGGAAGAGGAGCGCGAGATACGAACCCCAGTGAGTCTTGGCAGCTGTTTCCTGACATGAATTTTACTGCATACAACGGCTATCAATCTCTCTCTGTAGGGGGCATGTAGTTGTTCTAGTGCAGTCGTCCTCTCTTGTGATGGTAAGAGCCACGCGTCCCCTCCCACCTTCGCTTGTGATGTGCAATGCAGAACGAACGATGAAATACCACTACTTTTACCCGATGCCGATTTTGGTGAACGCTTCTATCATCCATATTTAGCCTCTCGTGTACGGTGTTTAGAAGCCGAATCAAACCATTGGACTAGCTAACTGTAATAGTATTGGTTTGATTACGGCTTGTACTAAAGTTTGTGAAGCCGAAACCTAGTCAGCGCTGACTAGTCTAATGGTTTGATTTCGGCTTCTATAGGTGACCACTCGAGGATTACACCGGATGGGCAAGAAGTGAATGAAAGGGTGGCGCTCTGCCCGTCCGTGTGCACGCGTGCCTGCGTATGCATGTACATGTATTTGGTTGTGTGAGGAGGATTGGGATTCTACACATACACGCATGCGTACCATAGAAGGACCGTCTGTTTTTCTGTGGGAGGAAGTACATAGTATGCCGCTCAACCAACGTTTTTGCTCCAAACGCGGCGGCCTTCTATGGGCTGCATCAGAATCGTTCATGCACCCATCCCCCCCTGATGATTTCGCACTGTTAACGAGAACATGGGTGATAACTGGTTTTGTTTTGTGACGAAAGGCTACGGGCTTTCGTCATCATTCCCCCCTCCTGAGCTTTTCATGCGAGTCGTTACATTTCTTGAAAAAACATTTAAGCCAGGAAAACCCCACACTTGTTGTTGTTGTTGTTTCTCACATTAGCTCTAAAAAAGAAAGATTGGGAGCCCGTGGTCTCAAAACCCGGCATACACGACCCCACGAAGAAACAGAAAAAAGTAGGGTACAAAAACCACTCGGAAGAGAAACAAAATGATAGAAAGAAAGACCAGCTACCGCACCAAACGAGAAAGAGCGTCGAGGAGACCGATCAAAATAAAATAAAAGGAGAACGGGGAACGCTTCCCACACCCGCCTACAACGCCGGAGGGTTCCGTGCCGGGTTCCCGCCGACCAGGCATCCCCCGCCCTGCACCACACCCCAGGGGGTGCAGCAAGACGGGGGGCGAAAAACCAACACATATATATTCCCACAAAAAAAATAAAAAAATCGAAGGTCAACGTACACCAGTACCTTCAGCAGTGCAGTATGCACCAGCGCATTAGTGTAGGGTAGGCACCGCACCAAAGAGGCAGCAGAGGTGGCAGGCAGCCAGCAAAGGAAAAAACAAAAATAACAAGGAGCTCGAGGTATCGTCCAAGATCATGGTAGAGAGGGCATGGAGAACAAGAAAGAAAGAAAGAAGAAAAGCACAAAGAGAGGCCGGAGGCAATACTAAGAGCATACAGCTTACGGCAGGGAAAAGGGAACACAGGGTGCGACAACATATCAGTTGGGCACGTCGTTCGCCGCAAGCGCGGCCTTGGCCGCCCACTATCAGCACACTATCAGCAAGCGAACAGAAGCGGGTCTACGAGTGTGTACGTAGTAAAAGAACAATGTGTCAGCAAAAGCTCCAGGCTCGTAAGAGCGTCGTCAAAGGCAAGGAAGGGGACACTCCTACAGCAATAGTACTGCCGTAGTACCAGCTGTTGCGCGGCACTCCTGCACAGCATACTGCTGCTGGATGGCGACAGCAGTCATTGTTCATGAAGTGACAAAAATACGGAATTTACTCCCCTTTACAATGACCCATCCAGCTTCGAGGGAGGAACAGAACGACGACATGATACCTTCGTTTCCCTCGTGTGCCCTTGTCCTGCTGTCTCTCGCTCGCTTTCCCGCCGTCGTTGTGGGGATCACAGCAGCAGCAAAAACATTGCAAACGTTGTACCATTAGCACCTCGCGGGATGATTTGACCAATCAGATAAATCCACGACATGGCGAAATTGCCCCGCGGGAGTGCCTCTCTTTCCGCATCATTTTTTTTCCGTGCTTTGTTCCCTTTCTTTTCACTCTCAAGAGAAGGAGGATACGAGAGAGAAAAGGTATAACTGCACGACGCCGTGGCTAGAAGCACGGGAAGGCCTTACGTGCACTGTAATCAAACGGCGGGGAGGCAGGCGAGCGGGCGGCACGGGCGGCAGAGATAGCTGTTCCCCGCGGAAGAAGAACAGGCAGGCCGGCAGGCACCGGCGGAACTCAGGAGGTAAAAACGCGTGTCAAATTCATCCACCAGGTGAGGGCGGGATTGGAGACGGGAGGCATCTTGTATCAAACCGGGAACATTGGAACCACGTCCCAAGGCTCGACTTCTGCCGTGCCCTTGGAGTTTGGGACTCAAGGGCTCTGTCGAGGGTGTGGTAGCCCGGGGGGTGGGTGTGGGGGGAGAGAGGGAGAATCCGTCGCAGATCCTCATGTTGGTTGTTGTGTGTTTCACACTAGGGCGCAAAAAGCCATCACAGGACTTCGCCCGACTCTCAGCGTGTCTTGGGGTTGCGTCTGGGTTCTGAACAAGGCAGCAGACACGCCATATTTGTCTGCCCCTCCCCCAGCAGCCGCCCTCTATTGGTAGAGCCCTCTCTGTGTGGGGCGAGGCGGTCCTTGTTTCCCCGAGCTTTCCGTTTGTTCTCTGCTGTGAGAAGAATGTCTCCTTCATACCTTGGAGTACACCTGCTTCTGTTGGATGGAGTACACATGTCTCGCGCGTCCAACTCTATTTTCAAGTCAGTCCAGCCGAAGAAGTCGAGGGCGAGGAAAGGTCCGCAGGAATCCTCACCACCGAGAGTAACCCTGCTGCGCGCTGTTTTCTTGGCGTGATGCTCAAAGACTACTCACGACCCTCTTTGTTTCTGTATGCAGTTCAGTAGTGCTCCCCTCCTACAGTCCGTGTAGTTACAAAATCAGCATGTACAGCAGTCCGTACTTGCTCAGGGGGAAGGGAGGGTCGAAAACGCCAAACCGCCGTTCCGCCGCCCCACCTACCTACCCCACCCCATGTTCCCCTGTCCCGCTCCCGCTCGCGCCCGTTGTCTCCCTGGGGACACAGACACACCCACCTCCGCTGCTGGAACACCTTCAACTTACCACGGCGTAGTTTCGAGACTTGTGCGAGGGCATCCCACAGCAGCAGCAGCGGAGGCAGCCGGAGACCGCTCCTACGGGGAGGCCGGTCGGCTCTTGGCCTGCTGCTGCCCGCCGCCGTCTTGCAGCTTGTAACGGTTGTTACGCCACTCCTGGTCAGCCAACGCTCGCGCGGACTATGTCCGCGTGATCCCTCCCC